CGGGCGCCCCCGCCCGCCGGCTCGCCGGCGGCCCCCGCGGCGGCGCTGCAGCCCGCAGCGCCGGCAGCATCCGCCGCAACGCCTCCGGCGTCGCCAGGGCCAGGCGCGCCGGCTCCCCCGGGGCCGACCGCGCCCGCGATGGACTCGAACGCGGCCACGAGCTCGGCGACGCACGCGGCTGCGCCGACCCCCAGGAGGGCTGCGCCGACCTGGCCCGCCGGCCCCGCGGGCCCGCCAGTGCCAACCGGGCCGGCGACAGCGTCCGCTTCGCCCGCCACGCCGGCCAGCGCCCCCGCCAGCGCCTCGCCTCCTGCCGGCTCCGCCGCGCCCCCCCGAACGGTTAAGTCAAGGGCGGGGGACAGGCGGGCAGGGCAAGAAGCGGGCGACGTCGGGCAGGAGGGGGCAGGCGAGGAGGTGGACGAGGATGAGTCGGACGGCGCCGCCGGCGAGGGATCCGCGGGCGGATCGACGTCGGAGGCGGCGTCGGCGGCGTCACCTGCACCGGCGGCCCCGGCCCCCGGCAGGAGGGCACCGACATCCCCTCGGGAGAGCCGCGGACCGCACGCGCCGACCATGCGCGCTGCTCGGCGCCAGATCGCGGCGCCGATGGCGGCGCGGGCCCGCGCCGCGAGCGCGTGCGAGGGCGCGCCCAGGCGCCTCCCCGCTGCGGCCGCCATGGACGCGACCGCGGCCGACGCATCCTCGCGCGGGCGGCCCCACGTTGTCCAGACGAGCGGCCGGTAGGCGATCCCGTCGGCCGCCAGCGCCGGCAGGTGCGGCGCGTACCTAACTGACCACGTAGGCGGCGGCAGCATCCTCGCCGGCCCCGGCCGCGTGCGGCGCCACGATGCCCACGTCGAGCGCCGTCAGCCGGCCAAAGGTAGCCGTGGTGAGCACGTCGGCCGGGCGGAGAAGCGGCGCGGCCTCGATGAGGCCTGGCGCCTCCGACCGAGCGGCCCCGTCGGACAGGGAGGCCAGCGCCAGGAGTTCGTCCCGCACTCTGTTGTGGCCGCGCGTGGACTCCCCCGGAGCACAACACACGGCGCGTGCCCCGTCGATGCTCCGTTCCGCGCCGCACCGGGAGCACGCGCCAGGGGTCACGTAGACCAGGGCGCCAACGCGCAGGCGCGCCGCAATCAGGAACTCCTCTGGGAGAAGCGCCAGCGCCCCAGAGAGCTCCCAAAGCCAACCGTGGTCGGTGCCTGGGGCTCGGAGGTCGCGGAGGAGCTCCAGGCCTGCCACGTCGCGCCGCCACAGCAGCGCGCCCTCCACGGCCTCGAGGCGGTGGCGGGACACAAGGTCAGCCAGGCGCGCCTGGAGACCCGGCGCGGCCCCGGGGCGCTCGGAGTCGTCAGCCCCTGGCAGCGGCGCCCGCCCCGCAAGCTGCGCTGCCCGCGTCAGCGCCGCCGTCGCTCCGGCCTGGAGGTGCTGGGCGGCAACCTCTGCAGTCGAGGCCGGGAGCTCCGCCCGCCATGCTGCCAGCGCGTCCGCCGAAGTGGAATCCCAGTGCGCCAGCAACGCCCCTTTTCAAGGAAACGGCAGGGCGACAGTGGCCTAGGAAATTGGTCCGCATAGATGGCCGGGAATCGGCCTTTCTGCCGTTGCGGGCGCGGCAACAAAGTCAGTTTTGGAATCCAGTGGGGACCAGTTCGGGCTTGGATGGCCATTCATGTAGAATGACAACGGTTGGCATCAACCACCTTAAGCCCACAGCTAGCACGCACATGCAGGGCACTCGAGGTAACTGGTCCGCGTGGATGGCCGAAGCTCGGCCATCCTGCCATTGCGGGCACGGCGAATTCAGGGCCAGCCCTGTAGATGGCCAATACTGGTTGCTAGCCGATGCGGGCGCGGCAACTGCACGCCACTACTGGTATCCCGTATAGGGGCCAGATTTGACTAGGATGGCCACCCCTGTCGATGGACAGGCGTTGGCATCCAAAGGCGGCGTTCCGAAGGGGCCAGGAGGACGGGGCTCAGCCAGGCTTGGCTCCCCAGCAAACAGGGTGCTTTTCAGAATCCGTGGGGGGGCTTCTCTTTCGTCCTCCGGGTGGTTCTGTGAATCACGTTTCTTACTAGATAGCCTTGCCCAGTTCCCCCCCTGGCCCCTTCGGCGCGCCGCCAACAGCTCGTGCCCACAGCCAGGATGCCCGAATCCTGTTCTTCGGCAGGCCTGACATCCAAACCCTCGCAACGAGCGCACAGCTGGGCATTCGAAGAAACTGGGCCGCGTAGATGGCCGGAGCTCGGCCATCCTGCCGTTGCGGGCGCGGCAGCTGTCCGCCAGTCCGGGTGTCCGCGGGAGTCAGGTTTGGCTCGAATGGCCAGCCCCGTCGGTTGACGGGCGTTGGCATCAACAACCTCGAGCCTAAAGCAAGGATGCCCGCACCTGTCTCCATGGGACCTATCGGCATCTTACCCTCACACGAAGGCAGAATCAGGAATCTGAGGAACTTGGTCCGCATAAGCGGCCGAACCTCGGCCATCCTGCCGTCGTGGG